AGATCTTAGTGAAGTGAGCAATTCTCCGAAGTTTGGCTTCAGAGGAGGCGAGGTGAACGAGCCAAGCGGAAAAACCGCAGGACGGTGTCGGTGTGCGATGCCGGTTTGGCTTCCGGAGAGTATTCCGTTGGCTGCAGGGCTCGGCTCGGTCTCGGCGTTCTGGGTCCTCCAGCTGTTGCTTTAAGCAGGAATAAGGCAGTAACCTTGGAGGAATGGTCCTTGTTTGGTTCAATGACATTTCGTCCCGGAAGTCCCTTTTCCTCTGTGGGTCTCAGGTCAAGCTGGGTTGTTGTGGCAAAACGGCCAGCATTGCGAAACATATGAAGATCAATGAAGATCATAACATGCGAGGTAACAAACTCTCGTGATCCTTGCTGCTTTCGCCCGTCCAATTCCATCTAGTAAACAAGAACCTGGGGTTGTGGTTGGTCTCAGCGGCAGGCCCGCGCCCCATGTGCTTTAGCCTTTTTGGGCCAATTTGATGAACGTGGCGCGACCACACAGCTACCACTATGTTCTGTTTGCAAGAGGGCTGAGTCGGGGGTACTCAGGTCCGGTTGGATCATCAGATGTTTGTTCTTTTTCATATACTCAGATACTATATATTATAGTATACTATATATGTATGTATTGCATGTTCATGTTCGTTCCACATCACTTCATCTTCATGTTTGTTTCATGGAGCACAACGGTGGTTCCGCTGAAAGCAGAGGGAAACTCGTGCGTCAGGATGGTCCGATAGAAACTGGCTCATATGTTTCTTTATAATTATCAAGCTGAAAACTACGGCTGTTTGTGGGCGGGCAAGACGCTGAAATGCAAGAAAACAGAGGCTGCAACGGTTTTGTTAATTTTTGTTTATAATGAAGCTTTTGCTGTAGAAGTGCCCTGCCCAACATCCCAAACTAGCCGAGCTCAGCCGCCTGCTTGGATTCAAGGGGGCACCTCCAGCGTTTGGAGAACCTGGTGCGATTCTAACCCCTGTTGGACTGGTGAACCAATTTGCATGGAGATGAGGCCCACCCTGGACTGGCATCCACACCCTCAAGAATAGCAAAAAGATGTAAGTAAACATTCGAGACGAGCCTACAGTGTTTGGAAGGTTTTGCTTGAAGGTCAGATGTGACAGGATTTAAGTTAATCATCATTACTATACTCATGTTTTTTTGCAAGGATTTCACGGGTTTGGGGGGCTGAGCTTTGGCACCTAGTGGAGAGGCATTTCATGCGATGTTGCGATGTGATCATCAACATTTCTCTTTGGTGATGGTTTTCCACACTTACCGGTGTGTTTTCTTCTTTAGAGCGTCCGAAAGGGGACGATGAGACTTCGCACATCAATATATATATATATATGTGTATGTGTGTGTGGCAGCAATTCAATTGATTGAACAGACTTAATAGTTCAAACCTTCATTTTTGAGAAAACTTGGTGGATTGGACTCTGAGCCAACAAATATGTGACCGTATGTCGGGTTGTCAAGAGCGCCTCAAATGGTGCAGGTGAACATACATGGTTTTATTCAATTGTTGAACGCTGCTACTGTATTGCGCGGAGACTTTTTCGGATTGCTTCCAAGCCATGCGTCAATCAAACATCAATCCAGTCCGACAGTCCTGGGTTTGAGGATGACCAGTTGGCGGAAGAACTTCCGTACCACTCAGACCGGCGCTTGCGCATTGGAAAAACAAAGCAAATACATGGGCGTGAGCCAACAGGAACAGGGAAAGTCCCCCCTATGAGGAATGAGCGGCCCTGGCGCGTGGCATTTTGTAGAAGACTGTGCATGAAGAAAGATCAGTGTTTTCGCATGCATTCGCGGTCACACTAGGTGGTATGCCAACATGTGCAGCGAGGCTTTTGGAATTCTTGTGTCCGCCACTGTCGGAGCTGAAAGAGCCACGGAGCTAATTACCGTGGCAAGAAAGAGAACGGCCGATCACCAGATCCATGAACTGTACAAACTTATATTTGAGGCTCTGAGGTGTATTTGGTCTTATTCCTTACTTCAACTTTGTCAGATCCAATCGTATCCAATCCAGTCCTTCGTTTCTAGGAGTTTCCTGGAAATGCAACACCGGCAGGAAGGGGAACTGCCAAAGCCAATGAGAGGCTTTTGAAGACAAAAGTCACTTCTTGGGAGAATTGTGACGCTTGGCTTGGTTTAGAAACCATCAGCTACTCATTGACAAGTCAAGCTCACGTCAGGGGGATCTACGTACTACATCACAGAGTGGAAGTAGTAGTGGAAGTGACACCCTGGTTCCTGGTTCATCCACCAGTTTCCGCTCTCAGGACTCTCATAGGCTGTATGTGCTTCCAAATGCTTCCAATGGGTTCCATGACGTTCAAATGGTCTCTCACCGCAGGACTGGCGCCCTGAGCAGGGCGGTCTACTGGTGGACGCTGACGCAGGTGCACAGGCAGCAAAGGCTGTAGTGCCCGAGTGTCTCGGAGATGATGTTCAGGTGTGTGAATCTGGGATTGGATGTGTTCAGGTGGATTGGCTGGATTGGATGTTGGGTTTGGACAGTTTTGGCGGAAGGATCGTTGACTGGTTGGGGGAACCAGCACAGCTTGCCGTCAGTTGTTTGATGTGGATCGATGTTCTTGATTATTTTCGAAGAATCTAAATGGATTATAGATGTCGTAAGGATTTCATGAGAGTTCTTCAAGTGCTTGCTGTTCTGTCTTATTTGCAAAGAAGTTCTTCACACGTCCCCGAACCAAAAGGCCGAATCCGTCCAAACATCTATTTCTGATTGCTGAAGATGGTTTTGATCCTTTGGCAAGAGAGGCTAGTTACGGCTAGTTCTCCCAAAGAAAAGATCAACAGAATTCAAAAGAGGTACCCTTTGACATCCTCTGACTCACTATCATGGAAGTGGAAAATTAATGGTTCACTTGGAAGACAACTTTCTTTCACAAACAAAAGGGTGTCCACTTCCATGTGATCTGTTCGTCGGAGGGTCGGAGAAGCACTGGTGCAGTTCGTGAGTCCACGTAGCCTCCAACTCCCTGGATAATAGGGTAATAATGCAATGATCATCTCCCGTGGGTCGGCTTTCAGACAGCCTTACTCAATGGAGGTACACCATACCCGTACACTGCACATACCATTCACCTCCTGACATACTGCAGGAAGCGTCGGAACCTACCTCCCTGGGTATTTGATGTCATTCGTTGGAACGGTTGTGTCGATTGAAACGTTCACACATACTGTAATAGTGGCAATATTACTATAGGTGCCTCCGCTTGGGGCTTGCCTTGTTTGTTTATTATGTCTTGTATTGCCTTCAGCTTCAATCCCCAGAGACTTCGATGGAGAAAGCGACACAATCGTGTAACGATGTGCTCATGCTTCTGCGCCTTCGGCACCCAGGTTCAATTCTTTGATTGCCTTTTTGGTGCCGCGGGAGCACTGGGTTGCTTGGCGGGCATGCGGGCGTTTGGCGGGGGCAGAGCCCTTGACGAGTCGACATGCGGTGTGCCATTCCGTCCAGCCACGGCAAAACAAATCGAACATACTGTAGCAAACTAAGCTGGAAGAAGCCTGCAACACCTTAAAGGCGTGGTGTGTGTATCTCGTGCTTGTGCATTGACGGGTTTCCTCCATCAAGAGTAATGTAGACTCTTGATTAATCAACCCCCCCCGCCCCCCCCTCAACAACCAGGGCCTCCAATATAATCTACAAGAAAACTAATCAAAGGACCAAAATGAAAAGAATCCTTATAAAAATCTTCTTGGCCTTCTCTGGCAATATTAAACATAAAAGGGAATCAATGAAATCTCAAATTGAAGACATTTGGAATACTAAAGTAAAAGGAAATCAATAAAGTGAAAATGGAATTCTCAATAATTTAATGGACATCTGAATCCAAAGACCTTCAAAAGCATCCAATACTTTTGAATAAGGGTTTTGTAAAGAAAGTGTGCACTGACTGTTGGAAAGTTTTGGAAAGCTTAAAGACTAAAGAGCTTAGGTAAGTAAAGCAAATCAAAAGGAAAAGAAAGGGAATGAATACAAGTTTACCTAAAGCAAAATATGTTTTGAAGCCTGAAATCTCTAGACATTATTCTAGGGGCCCCCCTAAATAATGTCAGAAAGCTGCTTGCTGGACTACCCCCTTTG